CGCCCTCACCGCCGCCCTGCCCGCTCTGTCCCGAAGCACCGTCCATCTTCATTTACGGAATCACGCACGGAGCGCCGGGCACGTTTTGGAGCACGTTCGAGTCCGGAGCGACAAACGCGCTGCCATTGTGCGACGCCAACCTCACCTTCTTCTACACAAACTACAGCGTGGCCGAGTATCTTGTGGCCATCGATGAGGCGTGCGCCCAAGCGTCCGCCGCGTTCATCACGCTGCCGTTCGAAGTGGGCTCGCCCGAAATTACGGCCATCACCGACAGGATCGCAGAATGTCTACATCGTCGCTGGGCAGAAAATCGCACCTTGCTGAGGTGGGAGCTCGTGAACACCGCCTCCGCCTACTCCATCGGCGAAACGACTGCACTGAACACCACTCACCTCAGGTACAGCTGGGACGGCTACGTCGGCAGCACCAACTTCGAAATGGGAACCGTATGCGGCAACCTCGCCCAAAGCCAGGATCTTCAGGTGGCGATGGCCGGCGGCGATATCCCAGTGAACGTCGATTCGAGCCAGGTACAGACCTTCTGGTGGCACGCTGAGCGCAAGAACTTTAACATCGAGAGCAGAGTGGAGGGCGTCTATAATGCCTTTGGCTTGACCTACCTCCGGCCGTGCGACTATTGGCGCCTGAGCGGTGAGGCCTTACCGGCTGGTATGACGACTACCACGGGGCTGACTATTGACACCATTCCAAACGAGTGCATGCCGGTGTCGGGCGAACCCCCTCCCAATTGCTGCTTCGATTCCACAGTGGGCTCCTTCCTCGTCATGGACCCGACCAAGATCGACTCGAGCAAATTCATCATCGCCATGGGGGTTGGCGCGGCGAAGTACCTCGGGCGCCAGGGTATTCAAATGGAACAGAGACCGTTCAGGCTGGAGTGCGGGGACGACAGGATGCTTGATCAGATGGGCTTCTTCGGCCAGTCCATTTATGCTCAGGGCCTTCAGGCGTCGGGGCAGCTCTACGCCACGCTTGTGGCGGGGCAAAGTGCCATGGACGTTGTCAAGGCCGAAAGTGGGCAGTATCCCTTCAAGTCCTGCCCGTATCAAGCTCCTTGGGGAGGGTTCACCGATGAGATCCGATGCCCGCTCAACATGACCATCATCAATCACGCCGCAAGGGGGTCCGTATTCGGCGACGGAGACTACGAGTATTGGGACAAGTGGGAGCTGGGCGCCAGCAGTGGTGCTCAGGACTACTACCCCTCGATCTTCCGGGTCGGGTTCGACTACACATATCATGTCCAGATCATCGAGGAGGCCTGCTGCATCAACTCGTACAACACCGGGTACTGCATGCAGGCGGACGCAATGGTCACGACGGTGCCGTACAGGAATGGAACGGCCGGCTACGACGCAGTGGACGGCGCAATCCGGGCCTGTCAGGCCGCCTCCCCGGAGCTCCCCATAACCATCGCTAGCTCATACTTGTACAGCAACGACGAGGTGATCTCGTTCGTCGGCGCCAGCGGCTACAGCCTCGGCCGGCAATGCGGGCTCGGACCCTTTGCGACAGGTGAACTCACCTACGACCGGATGGTGCTTTTGGGCATCGCGAGGCCGCCGGACTTTAGCGTGCCGCCCATGGACGTCTACGCTAGGCGTATCCGGATCATCGCCTACATGAGGGTGGAGGACGAGGGCGACTACTTCTTCCCGGACCTGTACCAAGGTATCAACGACACAGCCCACGCCATCGGTTGCATTCCGGGGGACCCACACACCACGACCGACTTTGGCCATGCTGAGTACATCACCCCGGAGGGCAACTGCCCACAGCTCTGGACGAACTGTACCGCTCTCGCGGAGTACTTGATTAATCTGGACCCGGACGAGCGGCGATTCACCTTCATCGAGGCGCTCGGCGTGGACGCCCTAAACGAACTGATCGAGCCCGACGGCAAGTGCAAATTGCCCTCCGACTGGGTCAGGCCGGGCGAGCCGGGCACGCCGAGCGTGGACACGGCCTTCGTGCCCTACGAGGAGGAGTACCCGGGCGTCGACTTTCAGTGCGGGCAGGGCGTTCTCGGAAGCTCCCTCGGACGCGCCTTGGCAGGTACCGTTGGGGTCAACCCGGACGATCTCTCCGACTTTCCTCTGTTTGGCGGCGACGCATGGGCACAAGGCGTGGCCGCCACCACAACGACGATCGTCGCCTCGCGCGTGCCATGGGGAGCCACTCCTATCGGGGCTGGCGATCATCTGATCCGGCCTCCTTATTTTGTCGTCGGCGACGGCGGGCTTGGCGGCGACGTGCCGCGTGTTCCGTTGGTTGTCGGCACGCCAGGCCCGGGCAAGTTCGTCTGCTCCCCGCCTCCCCCGCCCGCTCTTCCGTCACCGGACTCTGGTACGGCGGATGGACTGACCTCCGGTACCCAAGCAGCTTCTGTGCAAGCTCTGACCCAAGGTGGCTTCATCTCGGCAGCACCTATGACCGAATTTCACGTCTACCCAGTTCCTGATTACCCGCAGACTGCCCAAGTGGCGAACGCCCTCTCTGGCTACCCCACGCGCCGGTTTTTCGACCTCACTCCCTCGCCGCCGCCGCCCTCGCCGCCGCCCGTGCCGCCGCCGCCCTCGCCGCCGCCCTCGCCGCCGCCCTCGCCGCCGCCGCCCTTGCCGCCGCCGCCCTCGCCGCCGCCTACGCCGCCGCCGCCGTCGCCGCCGCCACCATCCCCACCGCCGTCGCCACCGCCCTCCAACCCGCCACCCAACCCGCCGCCGCCCTCGCCGCCGCCGCCCTCGCCGCCGCCACCCTCGCCGCCCGCACCCTCGCCGCCGCCCCCGTCACCGCCGCCGCCGAGCCCGCCACCACCGTCACCACCACCCAGCCCGCCGCCGCCGAGCCCGCCGCCACCATCGCCGCCACCCAGCCCGCCGCCGCCGAGCCCGCCGCCGCCGAGCCCGCCGCCGCCGAGCCCGCCGCCACCGTCACCACCACCCAGCCCGCCGCCGCCGAGCCCGCCGCCACCATCGCCGCCACCGCCCTCGCCGCCGCCACCGTCGCCGCCGCCGCCCTCGCCGCCGCCACCGCTGCCGCCGCCGCCGAGCCCGCCTCCTCCATCGCCTCCGCCGCCCTCACCGCCGCCACCGTCGCCGCCGCCGCCCTCACCGCCGCCGCCGATGCCGCCGCCGCCTCTGCCGCCGCCGCCATCACCACCGCCGCCGTCGCCACCCGATCCGTCGCCGCCGCCGCCCTCGCCGCCGCCGCCCTGGCCGCCCCCGCATCCGCCGCCACCCTCGCCACCGCCTCCCTCGCCGCCGCCTCCCTCGCCGCCCTCGCCACCCTCGCCGCCGCCGAGCCCGCCGCCACCCTCGCCGCCACCGCCATCTCCGCCGCCACCGCCGTCGCCGCCACCATTCTCTCCGCCGTCGCCGAACCCGCCTATGCCCCCAGTCGCGCCGCCCTGCGCGCCCGAGCACGTGCCGTCGGAGTGCGAACTGTGCGACTACTCCCCCGCGTTGAATGTGTATGGCACCACGGAGATCTGGAACGGCACCCACTGCTTGCCCGCCATCGACGGCTGCCCGTCGCCCCCCCCACCTACTATGCCGCCACCGGCGCTGCCCGCCACCACGGCCGGCGACCCGGTGACCGATTTCCGAGGCCGGCGCACGCGCTACTGGCTCCCGCTAGACGGTAGCGCGACGATGCTGCTCGCCCAGGGCGACGCGGAGCTCTGGGCGCTGCCGTTCGAGACCCACGAAGGCGAGTACATCCGCGAGTTCCGTCTGCTGCACAAGGGTCGCGAGGCGCTCAAGGTCGCCGTCTTGGACGGCGCAGAGGTGTGGCGCAACCTGACGTCGGCGGGGCAGCCCCTCCCCAGAGGTGACTCGTTGCTACGGACGCTTGAGGTGGTCACCTTTGGGCGCGCCGTCCGAGAGCTCGGCGCCATCCCGCCGCCGGGGCCTGCTGACCCGCACGTCCAGACGATGGCATCCTACGACCCCACCACGGCGATCGGCCCGCTCGCGCGCGAGACGGTCATCGTCGAGCTCGTGCAGGAGCCGCCGCTGACGCTGCGCATCTCCTCGCAGAAGGTGGTGAAGACGGCGGCGACCGACGACGCCGAGCAGCAGGTTCTTGGGATGCACCTCGACTTCGAGCTGGAGCTCGTCCCCTCGCGGCTGCGCGGCGTGCTGCCCGAGATCTGGGGCGAGGCGCAGATGAGCTGGGGGACGGCGGCGCTGCTCGAGCCGCCCCACTCGCGGCCGAGCGAGCAGCTGGTCGCGCTCGCGGCCGAGCGCCGACGCGCGAGGCGCGGCGCAGCCCCGTCGCTGTGGGCGAGGCCCCAGCCAGAGGCGGCGCGCGTGCACCTCTGCGTGCTGAGCGACCGCATCGAGGCGATCAAGAGCACGATCCTGTCGTCTTTCACGGCCAAGAGCCTCTCCACCTCGCTCCAGTGGCACGTCTTCACCTCGGCCGGCAAGGCGCGCGTCCTCGACGAGCTCGCCGCCGCCGGGGTCCCCGTCGAGGACGTGCGCGTCTTTGGGCTCGACGAGACGGTGGATGCGCTCGTCAGCCGCGGGGTGGACCCGGTGTGGGCGTGGGACGACTGGCAGCAGTGGCTGCACGCCGGCGCGGACGACGCGCGCTGGCGCACCGAGGCGTCGCTGCGCGAGTTCCCCTCGAGCCGCGACCCGAAGCACGCGCACCCGCTCAACTTGCTCCGCCTCTACCTGGCCGAGGTGCCGGCGCTGCAGCACCTGGAGCGCGTGCTGCTCGTCGACGACGACGTGCTGCTGCAGCGCGACCCTCGGGCGCTCTTCGACGCGCCGCTCGCGCACCAGGAACTGCTGCAAACGTCCTGCCAGATGTTCAGGCCCGCGACGCGCGAGGATGGCAAGAGCTGGCTCAACTACTCCAATGCCCAGTTTACGTACGCCCAGACGCAGTTCATCGGCTCTGTAAGCCACACGACGTACGAGCTCTGCAACTCTACTGCTGGCGGGGTGGCGGACGAGGACGCCGCGGAGGCGTGCGCGCCGGCGGCGCTCGAGCCGACGCTGCGCAAGCTCCGCGCCACCCTCAACGCGGGCCGCCCGGCACGGCCGCTGCGCGATGAGCTGGCGTGGAACTTTGGCTTGTCGCTGCTGCCGTTGGCGCGCTGGCGCGAGCAGCGGCTGGAGAAGCGCGTGACCCACTGGTTCCGCGCCAACTCCCTTCATCGCCTCTTTGCCCCCGACTCGGTCGAGAGCGGGCTGGGCCTGCCCTACCTCATCTTTGCCGGCGAGGTGGGCTGCTGGCCAGAGGGGACGGTGCTCGACGGTCTCGGGCACGCCGAGCTGGACGACCTGGTCCTCTCGGGCATTGAGCCCACGGACTTGGGCCGCTTCGCCGCGCTGCATTTTGCGGGCCCGCGTAAGCTCCTGCTGGACGAGCGGAGCAGCTTCGACGCCGCCGCGCTCCAGCTGGCGACGGTTGACCACCTCCAGGGCAAGGGCCCGCTCGGCAGCCGGCCCAAGCGCTCCCTACGTAGGTACTACTAGACACCAGTCTGCGGATACGCGAGCTTCGCCCCAGCGCACAGGACGGCCCGCAATTGGCCGCTGCGAGGGGGTGGAGAGGGAGGGGAGCGGGGGAGGGGATGGTCGCGTGCCTCGGCGTGCGGCGTGGGTCGATTCTGCTCTTCCGTGCACAGCGGGGAGGGGATGGGGGGTGGGAAGGCCAGAGGGCAATGGCCGCCGGTGTGTCAGGTGTGTGAGAAGGCGAGCCCCGCAAGCCAAGGGCGGGCGCTTGACGAAGTGCGCAAGAGATGAGGCAAGTTGCTGGCTGCCGCCGGACGACCCGAGTACAAGGTCCGAACGAAGAGCGCGCCCCAGACGAGAGAAGAGCAAGGCACGTGTGGTTGCCGCGTGGTGTGATGTTGATCAGTCGGACGGTGTTGATAATACGATATTCAAGGAACGCGCGCCCATATATTCGCTGACACGCTGCGAAACACCGCGCCCCACGCGCGCGCGCGCGCGCGCGCGCGCATGTGTGTGAGCGTGCGAGAGCAGCCGATTCGCGCAATCCGAACCCCGGCAGCCGATCGTCTCGCTCCCACACATGCGCGCGCACATCTCCGCTCGTCTCGACTCTCGTGGTCGTGCGCGGTGTGTGTACGCTTTAAAGCCGTAGCCTTTACCCCGTGCGAGTGGTACGGTGAAAATTAGCGTGGAGGGGCAGATCGAACAGCGAAGCTGTCCAGACACCAGAGTACAGAGAGAGCTGTTTGACCATGACACAGCAATTAAACCCCAGCAGCAGGACCTCTCGTTTTATTTGCGAGGACGACCTGCTGGACTGGAGTAACTTGCCCCCCCCCCCCCCCCCGCAATTACTGCACCCTTTCTGTCTCAGTTCCGCGCCCCCGCGATCAGCTCTCGCCCCGTTGCCGCCGCGCGTGCAGCTTCTCCGCCGCCGCGCGCACCGCCCTCAGATTGAGGGGCACATCCTCGCGGATCCTCCATTCGAGCGCCGGCACTGGCACCAAGCCCCGCGGCGTGATGTCGACCTGCGGGTGTGGGTTGGCGGGGAGGGCGGTGGAAGGGGGGAGGTGCAGAACGGGCGGAGTGAGCCGATGCAGGAAGATAGGGGGAGGTGTGTAGTGGTGGTGGTGGTGGTGGGGGGGGGGGGGGGGAGGCAAAAGGGTCTCGGCATCTCCCACTCAATTCGAGAGCTTTCCCCATCTCTCCCCATCTCTCCCCATCTCTCCCGGAGATCGCTCACCTTGTACGAGAGCCTTGTCGTGTACTCCAAGGCGTCGCTGCTGCCGCCTCGCGCGCGCGTGCGCGAATACGGCTGCACGCGCCACTCGCCCTCGAAGGCGCCAAACATCGCCTAAAGGCGGGGGTGGGGTGCGGGCGGTTGGGTGGGCGGGCTATCGAGGCAAGACGGGGGGGGGTCACCTCGGTCAATCTCCGTCGACCTCGGCCGCTCTCGGGTTCTCCGCTCTCGGCTGCTCCCGACAGTCTCGGCTGCTCTCGGCTGCTCTCGGCTGCTCTCGCCCCCCTCTTGAACCGTCCGTATCCATCTCTCCCCTTCCCGGCTCATCTCGGCTCATCCTGGCTCATCTCGCCTCATCTCGGCTCATCCCGGCTCATCTCGGCTCATCTCGGCTCATCTCGGCTCATCTCGCGCCGACTCGATGAGCGAGAACTCAATCCTCCGCATGCCCCGCGCCTCCCTGGCGTCGTTCCCGCCCTTGCGCTCCTGGCCCGGGGTGGCAGTGGTGGTGGTGGCGGTGGTGGTTGGGGGGGCGGGGGGGTGGGGGGGGGGGGTGAGAGGAGGGGGAGGAGGCGATGGCACTGGCAGGGACGGTGGCGGCGGGGACGGAGGAGGCGATGGCGGTTGGGGGTGGGTGGTGGGCGGTGGCGTTGGCGGTGGAGGCGGCGCGGTGGGAGGGGGTGGAGGCGGGGATGGGGTCGTCCGCCGACAAGATGGCAGCTTCAGCAGAGCAGAGAAGGGCCGTCAAAGGCGCACGTGCAACAGGGTCCTTGGGCCGTCCTTAGACGTGCGCGTGTGAGTGCGTCTCCGCTTGCGCGTGTGTGCGTGCTACGTGTGCGCGTGTGAGGGTGCGCGCGTGCGTGCGTGCGTGCGTGCGTGCGTGCGTGCGTGTGCGCGCGTGCGTGCGTGGTGGTGTTGGTGCGTGGTGGCGTGAGAAGATGGTACCCCGAGGTCTGTGGTGGGGTGAGATGAAGATGGAATCCCGAGGTCTGTGGTGGGGTGAGATGAAGATGGAATCCCGAGGTCTGTGGTGGGGGTGTTTTGAGCGGGGTGGGTGGGACATGCCGGTACCGTCATATCCATTGTCAGCGACGCGCGAAAGTCGAAGCCGACGATGCGCTGCGCTCCCTCCTGGAAGAGGAGGGAGGGGGTGGGGGTGAGGGTGAGGGGAGAGGCCAAGGGAGCTGCTACGACCCTCAGCTGCTTCGGCCTCTTTGGGGCGGTGCTGGCGGGAGTCAGGGCAGGGCGGGGGCGGCAGCGGGGAGGTCGGCGGAGCCGGTCAGGGGGTGAGGTGGCGAGGGAGGCAGAGGCGAGGGTGACGTCGGGGAGGTGCGGCGGCGGCGAAGGCGGCGAAGGCGGAGGCGGCGGCGGAGGCGGAGGCGGCGGTGGAGGCGGCGGCGGAGGCCCGCCTGGAAGAGGCGGATGCCTCCGGTGGGGTGCGGGCGCAGCTCCGACGAGACGAGGTTGGGCACGTGCGTCGACAGGTTGTCGTAGTCGGTCAAGATCGCCCACACCGCCTCTGGCGGAGCGCTCACCACGATGCTCGCCTGTGGCGGGCAAAGACGGGCCTCGGAGACAGCGGCGTGAAGCGGCGGCGGTGGCGGCGGCGGTGGCGGCGCAGCAGCGGCGGTGGCGGCGGGCGGTGCGGCCCGCACCGAGATGCATCGCGAGTTGAAGCCGGTGGTCGAGATGGAGACAGGGACCGCGCCGGTCGCTATGTTATCAGTCTGCATCACGCCAGCGGCTCGCGCAAGCGGGTGCGCGGCGCGCGGGACGACCGCCTGCCGGAGCGGCACGTTGAGCGCGGCGGCTATCGCGAGGACAGACAGCATATCGCGCGAGAACCAAAGGCCCAGCGCGTCTGAAGATGCGGGCGAGCGCCAGCGAGCGGAAGCCGGCGGTGGCTTGCTCTGAACCCTCCGGTCCCGGGTTCCAACTTTTCCGGGGTATGGTATGATGGTCCCAAAGGGTGGGGGGGTCTGGTCCTGACCGCCCAAGGCTAGCCCTACCATGCCCCAAGCAGGTCTTCCAAGAGGCGGGGGGGTATGGTCTCGAGGTGGGTTGGCCGAGCCTACCATACCATACCCCCCGGAAAAAGTTGGATCCCTGCTGTCGATGGGGGAAGAAAGTCGAGGCGGCATTTTTCTCAATCTTGCGCCCAGGCCGCTGCTCGCCCCAGCGCCGTGCACTGCGCCGCCCTCCTCCCGCCGCCGCCCGCCGCCGCCACCCGCCACCCGCCGCCCGCCGCCCGCCGCCCGACGTGCGCCGCGTCGCCGCGACTCCCGTTGCCCGCGCCGCGCCGACCTCTTCCCGCCCGAGAGTGGCGCCCTCCCGTTGCTGTCTGTGTAACCCTCTTGAAGCGCCCAGTAGGTCTGCGCTGCACATTACGGTTGTCGCTTGGGTGCAATGAAGCGGGTGCTCGTCGGCGTCGGGAAGGCCCTGCGCGACACCGGTCAGGCGGTGGAGCGGATGGGCATGCGCGCGCAGGACAACTGGATTTTCCAAGAGAAGATCTGCAGGCACCGCGCCCTGATGAACCTGTTCGACCAGCGACCAAAGCTGCGGCCCTCCGTATTCGTGGCGCCGAACGCCTCCCTCATCGGCAACGTGAGCGTGATGGACGAGTCCTCGATCTGGCGCGGCCGCCGCGCCCTCGCCCCGCGCCGCCGCGGCCCTCTCCGCCCTCTCCCGTCGCCCCTCACCCCGAAGACCACACACGAGCATTCCGAGCCGACCCCGGCCGCTTCTGACGCCGCCGACTTCCTAGCCGCCGCCCCCTCCGCCGCCCCCACTGC